AATTCCCTGGATCTCTGGTTCCTCTCAGTGACTCCGAGTGGCAAAGGAGTTTTCCTTTGGTGTCCGAGAAGAGCCTCAGGTGCCTCCTGTGCAGAAAATGAGGGGCAGAAACCAACAGGGCCCTTTGTGATTTATCCCACTCCTGGGGTCACTTGAGCTTTGTTTGGTGCTGGAGAACCAAAACCTTTCTCATGCAAAGATTTTGGGAGCAGGGCTGTAAAAACTTCCGTGGGGAGATCTCCTGTGAGGAACAAGAAGAGACATAAGGTGGTGTAACCTGGTTTTCCAGGTTTTCCAGGAATGCCAGACAGCACATTCCATATCTGTGAGCAGCTGGACTTGGCCATTATTTCTTTTCCCCCCTTTATTTCAATCATTTAAACAAGTGGGATTATTGGGAAAGCACATCTGGGCTGGAGGCTGTCCCTCCCCAGGGCACAGGGAGGGAGCTCGGTGTGCTCCAGGAGCAGCTTTGCTGCATCCCACCTTCTGCTCCAGCCAATATTCGGAATTCAGTGTGGGCTGGATGATGGGAGCTGTGCTTTAATAAAGCTCCCAGCCCCCGGAGTGTGAAACCACTGGCAGTTCCTGACGGGGTGCAAACTCCAGGCTGCTAAAATCCGCATTTCCCAGATCTTCCCCTTCATTTCCAGATCGCTGCTGGAGCGCCAAGGGAACAGCCTGGACAGATGAAAGAAATTAACTAAAAACATTCATTTTTCAATGATTTCCTCTTCAACCCGACCCTTACAAAGGGGATTTTGTTGTGTGATGTGTGAAGTCTCACCCAGGCAGACCCCACCCAAGGGTCTCTGCAGGATTTGAACCTCTGGGTTCCCTCTCCAGCTTGGGCTCATCTCCCCTGTGACTCCTCATTAGCTCTTTGTCCATAATTGTGCTTTGTCATTAGGAGTGATTAATTAATGGGTGATTAATCAATAAGGGCTTCTCTGCAGGGAGCTGTTCCTGGCTGGAGCAGGCACCCATGGACTCAGGATCAGTTGTCAGAGGGTGGCACCAGGGGCTTTCAGGCTGGAGGAGGATTGCTTTGGATGAGAAATAAGGCAGAAGGTTTTTGTGGAGGGGTGACAAATGAATTCCCGTCTCTGAGTGCAGGACTGTGAAATGTTGCCGTGTTTAATAGGAGGAGGCTCATCCATTAAGAACTGGAACCCTCCGTGCTGTTTTTATAGTGACAGGTGTTGGTGAAGAGAACTGGAACCCTCCGTGCTGTTTTTATAGTGACAGGTGTTGGTGAAGAGATTGGGGCTGGATGGATTCTTTAAATAAATTCATTTTTTTTTTTTTTTTAAACTATCTCTAAGCTGCAATTCTGCTGCTAAATAAGGACTGCTAATGAATGTCCTGACAAGCAAAGATCACATTTATTCCCAAGATTTATTCCGGTCTCCATCTCCTCACCACGGCTTTGGTTCTCCTCAGGTTCTGGTGGTCTTTGAGACCCTGCTTGAAACATCCCAGTGATATTTAAGGTGATGTTTCTGTTCAGTCCCTGAGTTCATAAAATCCCAGAATCCTGGAATGGTTTTGGTGGGAAGGGATCTCAAAGCCCACCCAGAGCTCCCCCAGCCATGGCAGGGACAGCTCCCGCTGTCCCAGATCCAATCCCAATGTCCAGCCTGGCCTTGGACATTCCCAGGGATCCAGGGGCAGCCATGGGAAATCTGGGAATTGCAGCCCAGGCAGGAATTCCTTGCCAAGATCCCAGCCCAATCTCCCCTTTCCCACTGGAAGCCATTCCCTGGCTCCTGGCCCTGCAGCCCTTGGCCCCAGTCCCTCTCCAGCTCTCCTGGAGCCCCTGCAGGGACTCTCAGCATTCCCTGCATTTTGCCCTTCTCCAGGGGAACATTCCCAGCTCTCCCAGCCTCTCCTCCCAGAGCTGCTCCATCCCTCTGCTCCTCCTGGAGCCTCCTCTGGGCTCCTCCAGCAGCTCCAGGTCCCTCCTGTGCTGGGCCCCCGAGCTCAGGGCTTTAAGGCTTTGCTCCAGGTGGTGACAGAAGTGGTGACTCTTCCTGGAAAAAACTGTAGAGGAATCCTGGAGAGGCTGGTTGGAAATCTCTTCCAGGAGTCCTGGAAAGGTGGATCTGAGACCTCTTGGGCACCACTGGAGCCGATTCCTGCCTGTCCATGGAGGAGCTCTGCATGCAGCAGAACCTGTGTGGGTCCTCTGATCTGATCTGGTCTAATCCATGTGGTTCCCTGCTCTGATCCGTGTGGTTCCCTGCTCTGATCCATGTGGTTCCCTGCTCTGATCCATGATCCAGCTGGTTCCTCTGCTCTGATCCATGATCCAGGTGGTTCCCTGATCTGATCCATGATCCAGGTGGTTCCCTGATCTGATCCATGATCCAGCTGGTTCCTCTGCTCTGATCCATGATCCAGGTGGTTCCCTGAACTGATCCATGATCCAGGTGGTTCCCCATGATCTGATCTGACCTGATCCAGGTGGTTCCTCTGCTCTGATCCATGATCCAGGTGGTTCCCTGAACTGATCCATGATCCAGGTGGTTCCCTGATCTGATCCAGGATCCAGGTGGTTCCCTGGTCTGACCTGATCCATGTGGTTCCCTGAACTGATCCATGATCCAGGTGGTTCCCTGATCTGATCTGACCTGATCCAGGTGGTTCCCTGATCTGATCCATGATCATCCAGCTGGTTCCTCTGCTCTGATCCATGATCCAGGTGGTTCCCTGATCTGATCTGACCCAGGGAAGGTTGCAGTGGCCCCAGAGCCCATTCCTGCCTGCTTGGGATGCAGCTGGAGAGGGGAATGTTGGGATAACGCTGCTCCAGCCCTCTGCTCCTCCCTGCTCTGATCCCACCCCAGGCACCCAAACCGAGGGGCGGCAGAGCAAGGAAAATCCTCCATCCCAGGAGAGCCTCCTGGTGAGGCTGAGCCAGCAATCCTGCACTGAAATCTAAACCCAGCACGAAGCTGGAGTCATTCCCTGTGCTCCAGAGAAGATTCCCCGGTTTCCCGGCGGGGTGGAGGAGGTGGAAGCTCGGCTGTTCCTCCAGGATGGCCGGGGAGGGTGGAATGAAATCCCAGCAAAACCCAAAGGAGAGGCTGGCAGGACTCGTCAGGGAGCTGGAGCTGCTGGAAAACGCTGCAGACAGAACAGGAATTAGAGGGGAAAGAAGTGAAAATGAGCTGGCAGAATCCTGAGGTGACTCATCAGGTGCATCTTGTGAAGTCTCTTTGGGAGAAGTAATGAAACCGCGTGTTCTAACAATATTTGCACTGCAGCAGGGAAAGGCATAAATATTGGGATCAATTAATGAAATTAGAGAATTTGACCAAAAAAGCCCTCGTGCTGGCTCAGAAACCATCCCTCTTCCTTTTTGCTGGTGTCAGTGCCTGCAGTTGGAGAGGAAAACCCGGCGGTTGTGTTTCCCAGCCCGGCTGAAGGCGATGGGGGCAGCCCCGGGGGCACTGGGATGTGCTGGGAAGGCACCTGGAGCCCGAGGAATTCCGCCTGCACCCCTTGGAAGTTCTCCAGCTGCTGGAGATCTGGAAATGCCTGGAAATGGAGCCTCCTTCCCTTTGGGTTTTGGGATTCAGGCCCAGCTGGTCTTCACCACCCACAAGGATTGTCCTTTGTGTCCCCCAGCCTCTGTGCTCCCCTGGGAAAGGGGCAATAGTGATTTTCCTTGGGAAGGGAATTTTCCCTCGGGAAAAGATGAAGATCCATCCTCAGATCCTCGTCACAAGCAGTGGAGCTGATCACAGAGCTTCACTGTGAGGTGAACTGGGAGGGAAATTTGGGCGTGTTGGGATCAACAGGCCAATTAATGCCATTTATAGCAGGCTAATTACCTCATTGCAACAGCATTTTAATGGATTTCTATTTGGGAATGGCAATAAAGCCGGGGTGAGGGACGAGGTGACGAGCTCAGCAGGGTGAACACCTGATCTGCAGGGTGTGGATGGCTTTTGGGAACCGTGAGCCAAAAAGAGCCATCAGCAGCCTGGGATTCAGCAGCAGCAGCAGGAGCAGAGCTCCCCAGGTTCTCCTGCCCTGGGATTGGCTCCGGCACAGCTCTCCTTGGAATAATTCCCCAGGCTCCTGGCGGCCTCCACTCGAGAGGATGTTGACAAATTGGAGAGCAGCGAAGGAGCCACGAGGGTGGGGAGGGATTGGCACAGGAGCCTTGCCAGGGAAGCAGCCTGGCTGACGGAGAAAATGGGGATTTTTCACATCGAAACCGAGGTTCAAGGGTGGATTTGCAGCTCCAGGCACCTGAGGGAAGAACAAACCCAGGCAGAGGTGCTGGGGCTGGGGCTGAACACAAGTTTGGAACAGCAAAACCCAACATCTGCTGGGATGTTCAGAGTCCTGCCCTGGGACCCCACACTTTGGGGTCTGAGGCTGGATGGGGGTTCAGGTGTGCAGGGAACCCCTTTGAGCAGCAAGGGACAGCTCTGGGTG